TTTTTTATAGTAAAACAATATTCGACAACAAAAATACTTTTACTATAGGTATTTTATTTTATGTTAAAAATAAATATTTATTTATTTGTATACCGATGTTTTATTTCTGAATTAACATTTTTATGTATAATAATCCTAACTATCTTCAACTTCAATCTAATCTGACTTATCCCACAAAATTTACCAATTTTACTTTTTATGAAATAATGTCAAACAACTTATGGTTAAGAGGTCAAATTGTTTATTTAATATTTTTAAATAAATATATATTAATATGTCGCAAAATTTTTTAAGGGGACGACACATACATTTCACTGTCATATTATGACAGTGAGGCGTATTTGTCGTCTCCTGAAGAATTTTACGAATATAGAATACAACCTATTAGAACGTGGGTATCTGACATATTTGGAAATATTCTCAAAAGCTTCCTAGAAACCCCATAAGAAACCTTCTAAGAACGTATTCTTAAAATGTTCTTAGGATGCTTTTTAGGAAGGTTTTAAGAAGCTTTTAAGAATCTAATTGCATCATTAAAAGGGTATCTATTGAATGTTTTAAAAGTCCCTAAGAACATTCTTAGCAATAAGGGAAGGTTCTAAGAATATTCCATTATTCCGGGTCATATCTTCTTAGAAGATTCTTAAAATCAAATTTTGCTATCAGGGAAACATCAAGAACATTTTAAATATATATATCTATAGATCGTAGTTTTTAGATTGTAGTTTTTATAGTATATTAATAACACTGAAAATAATTGGCGGATCTAATTTTAAAGTGGTAGATAAATTTAAGATTTAGAATTTTTTTCAGAAAAATTTGCTTATGCAATAGTTTTTTAAGTTACACGAGATGTATGGTTGGAATTTTAGTAACTTTACTTTAATATTATATATTAAGTTGGTCTTAAAAAATGTGATATGACTTTAATAATAATTATTGTAATTGGCTACTTATAAAGTTTTATTATCGTTAATTACTTATTTAATAACTACTATGGATGTGCTTCAGTAAAGTTATAAAATTATAAATAAATTAAGCAGTTTTTATGTCTTTATAATACGCAAAACTATTCAACCATGTTTTAGTCAAATTTGGATAATTTACTGTGAGAAACTTTTTATCGTACTAGAAAAAATGCAAGTTAAAATTTGGCTCAAAATTATTAAAATAAATTTACTCAAAAAATATATAATGGGTATTTTTTGCAAAAATTCTTTAACAATTGTAAAGTTGAAGGCCGCAAAATCGTTAGCTACGTGACTTCCATGAAACGGTTAATTGGTAAATGAAATTAAAATTCTTTAATACATTTTGCAATTAATAATTACAATAAATCTGCAAATACAAGACCAACTCAACCCTTTTTGGTTATAATTTGGCAACATGTGACTTCATTTCATCGGAATATTGCATCGATTCGGTCTAGAAATTCTACAAGATGTTGTTTTAAAATGTTTGTATTTTTCTTTGGAAAAACACTTATCTGCAAAAATACATCTCAAAAGTTAAATATTCTTATAATATCGTATTTAGCTAGAATGTACGTTTCACTAATATAGTGGCCTCTAAGATATCCAGATCTAACACTATTAGACTTTTCTTATGGGGTTTGTGGTCTACAAAACTCATTCTATTGATCTTCGACAACAAATAGAATAGAACCAATAGAATGCCGACAAACATTTCAAAATGTTCAAAAGGAATTTTAGAGGTGGCCACAGCCCCAGGAGTTGCTTATTGAAGGTCATTTTTATGCCCATACTGATTTGATAAAAAAAATTTACTAGAAACAAGAGAAGAAAATATATTGGAAAAAATTGCTTCACGGAAGATAGCTTCACGGAGGTTAGGATTTCGTATGTTTTGTTTAAAACATCCCTTTGTATATTTAAAATAAGTTATTGTATCCTTTGACACCTTAAAATTTTTTTAAAATACAATTGTACTTACATAAAATATTTATAAAAAAAATCTACCCACTGAGATATTACATTTCACGGTGGATAGGTTTTTAAATAAATCTCATCTGCATATAAATTCTAACTGACCTTCGGGAATCACATGCATCTATAATGTCGTAAACAGAGGTTTTTGCTTATTTAAAATGATGAAAGCGCCATCCGTTGCATAAAATTTAAAGCAAAAACAGATTCACGGAGGATAGAATCAATTTTTGTAACACCTACATAAATGGTTATAAAATTATTTTTTTTAATTTACTTAGTGAACTGATATTTTTAGTATGCTTTTACTACCTCAGATATTTGAAAACCTAGAAAGAGTAACAGTCACGGAGGATAGGTTTTAGACTTTTAAAACATTGTAAAAAATAATTAATTGCAGTTAAAAATCTGGAACCTGAGCTGTAATATCTACTTAATTATGAAAGATTAAAACAAAATAAAAGTGTAGGTCAAACTCATTTAGTTTTATTAAATATCACGGGGTAACACCTTTGGGGGACATTTCCTGAGATTCACCCATATAATAGTTTTTTAACGATTTTTTTTTCGCACTATTATTAAACCACAGTATTATGGAATGACTCATACTGTTTATAGTAAAAATCTTGTTTACATCGATATTTTGTAATATTTGTTAAAAGACCTTTAATTATGTATGTATAGTAATATATTTAGTGATATTCTTTACGCAGGACAATCTAGTAGTAGTGACTATGACTCATTTTTCTGTTAAGTTAAACAACTTAATTATTTATAGTATTTATAATTAAGGTCAAATTAAATTAATACATTTTTTTAAATTTAACTGTGGGGCGAATATAATAATGAATAAACTTAATATTCGAATGTATAAGTTATACTAAAAATGTTCAGTGTATGGTTTAGTATTTTAGTTTTTATTGTAATTTTATTTAAAATAAAAATTTGAATTAACATTTTTTTTGGTTATATTTTAATTTAAACTTAAATATTTATCCAATTAATTATAAGAAAAACAATAAATTAAAGATTGTAAAAAACTGTTAATTGATTAAATAAATTTGAATCCATTTTTTAAAATTAAAATTTAAAATTTAAATGCATTAAAAAAAGTTTTGTTAATGTAATATATTTTATCTATTTTGCGTTCATAATGACTTCATTGTAACACCGCTATCGGTGCTGTAATAACATACTTTATCTCACCCAATTTTGATTTTATAGGTTGGCTATACTTTAAACAGCATAACACGGTGGTCAAAACTAAAGTATAGGACGAACAAAAATGCCAACCAAAACTGATATCATAATCTGATTATAGACTCTTTTGGTAACCCAAAAATGTATTTATCAAAATCCCAGCTGATCCTTTATTAAAGTTTTGCATATTTCTTAGTATTTTAAAATTGTTTATGCCATTTCGATAAAATACTCTAGTACCATTATCAAATGTTTTTAAAAATTTGGCAGATACATACATGACTGAAATATGGATAAATTACATTATAAATACAAAATAATGTAAAATACAGTTTGCAATATCTTATTTATAGTTTTAAGGTACCTAATACAAAACTAATAAATAACTTAAGATTCTTTGAAGCAAAATCAATTACTGCTTGCCTTAAATTTTCAGTAAAACATTTTCTTGGGTTTTACATGGAATTGTTTTTAACATGGAAACAGTATTTTTAAATTCTTCAGTCTCTGTACAAACATGCTTATTACATCTAGCGATATCCCCTAGAAAGGAAGAGCATATCAAAACTTTAGTTCGTTCGTCCGTCCTCTTCCCTAAATAATTTTTTATGCCCTTTATATCTTGCCATTTTGCAGATAAAGCACATACATTTTTGACTGCCGCGAAATTCTCTAGCAATTTCTAAATTTTGAAAATTTGGCAATTGTGGCTATGCAAAAATACCGTTTTTACCATATTGAAGTAGGTAATTTTGAATCACTTAAGTTAAAGTGTTCGTTTGAAAAAGTCTGCAGTAATTTTTATATTTTCTCAGAAACCCTAAACTCTTAATTTTTCGATTACCAAAAACAATTTTGTCTCCACAGCGAGCACATACCTTCTTTCGATTTTCTTCATGGCTTAACTTGAATTTTGGTTTAATTTTCATTTTAAAATACTATTTTTAACTTTATAAAGTATACATTAAATAAACAACTAAAGCAAAATGTCACTTGCGTTATAACGTATAGCAATTTTTTTCATAACCACCTTAATTATTGTTTTACAAAATTTGCAAGTTGTAATTATTTCATAGACAAACTTCCAGTATTTTTTTTATAAAAAATATTTAAGATATAAATCTTCGTTTTGTTTTGTTATGTTTTGTTTTGAGTGGTAAAAAATAATAGGTGACTCAATAAATTAATACTGGGGAGTAAAGTAATTTATATGATACAAAGTTTATTATTTTGCTTAATTTTATTAAAATTGTACAGGTAGTTTTAGTACAATAATTGCAAAATAATATATAGAAATAGAAAAACAAAAAAGTTTGCAAAACTTTAAAATAGGATCAGCTGGGATTTTGATAAATACATGTTAGTGTTACCAAAAGGGTCTATAATCAAAATATGCTATCAGTTTTGGCTGGCATTTTTGTTCGTCCTATACTTAAGTTTTGACCACCCTGTATAAAGCAACTAGATTCAAAGAAGGATTTGACGCCCTGTTCGATAAAATCCAATAAATAAAATAGCAAACACCATAATCCTTGAAATCAGGAAGCATTTTGCAATTCGTGTTTAGATTTATTTAATTATTTTACAACGTTCTTGTCCACCATAAACCATAGAAAAAAAGTATGTATTAAAATCGATTTACTGGTAAAGTGTACGTGATGTTTTACCGTAAAACCCGGCATTACAAACCATAAATAAATATTTCTAGTTGCGGTAAAAAATGCAACAAATTTATGACCTCAAAGCTACTTAAGATTTAAGAGTTTTTGTTGTCTTTTCGAGGACGAAAAATGCATTTAATTCTTGTAGCAGTGTTTTTATGATTTTAATATAAATTTAAAACTTAAAACCTACCAATATTATTAAACTGTTAATCCAAAACTATTTCACCACAAAATCACTTGTCACACCAAATGCACAAAATTTAATCCAAAAGGTGCAAGATTAGAATTACATTTGACTTAATTTATAAAAATATTTATTATATCTTCCACCATCTTGCTTATTATTGCACTATTTGAAATCAGGTGAAAAGATCAAAGTCCAAGTCGTATGAAAATATAGGTACTTTGTGTGTGAGGAAATTATGTATGTATATTGGCGAGACCGCCTCTAAACAGGCATTTGGTATAATGTGATAAATTAATGATTTTTTTGTAACACAATGCAGTGTTACATAGTACACATATACAGGGCTTTAAACTTCCAGCTACCTTTACTAAAATATTTTAATGCTATCAAAATGAAGTAGTTTTCACCAAAACAAATGCATAGATAAGTTTTATAATTGGGTGATTATACAGAAACTATCATTTTTAATATAGTAATTTGAAAATAGTTTTTTTGTTCTAATTTTATTTTTAATTATGCAAATACGACCTTTGGTTTAAATTTTAAACTTTAAAATAAACCCTGCAAAGTGAAAGATCAAACAGTTTAATTGTTTTTTGAGCAGATTTGCGATGTAAGGAATACAATATAGCATAAAAACTAAATAAGTAATTAAAAATAAACTTAAATATAAACTTGTTTAAAAACAAAACAGTACCTATTATAAAAATTTTAAAAAATAAAAAACAAAAAAAAAATATAAACTCTCTATATTTTGTAAACCATTTTTTGAAAATGGGTCATGAAATAAAGCAGGTTTATATTTTTGTTTTTCAAGTAACTATTTTATTTATATGTTACTGTATTGTATGTTCTATTATAGGAACTTTAATTTTATTCAAATTCGTCAATTAAGTTTTTAAATTTATTATACAGTTTGGAGCCTTGCTGAATTATTCAGCGACGTGGTAATATTGTTATTATGTCTTGGTAACTAATGTACGAAACATTCTTTTCATCCGAGATTTCTACCCCAAAATGAGTATCACTGAGATATATATTTTTTGCTTTATTAGTCTATTTTTTAACAATAGTCTTTTTTCCAGGATAAAGAATACTATTTGAGTCGAATTTCAAAAATTTTTGAATTGCATTTTTTTCTTGGCATTTTCAATTTTTTTTTATAAAGACTGCTTTTGGGTATGTGTGCCGGCCACCATTTACAATTTTAATAATTTGTAAGACGATAATTTGTAACAATGTCTTAATATCCCAGAGGAATGGTGCCAGAGGAATGGTGATTTCTTAGTTTATTTCACGTGGGAAAGAAAAAAAACAAACCTTTACCTAAAAATTGGTTTACAGAAAAGTAAACCCCTCGTATTCAAATCAAATAATGGATGCAACAAAAATATAAATAAACAAAATACACTTACCAGAGAAATGATCTGTCTGTGTGTGACATTAACAATTTTAAACCAAAACTTAAAAAAAACACGTGTTGTTTTTTTTAGAAAATATTTGCTTGCTGACTCAGTGGAAGAATATATTTAGGTATCTTTCGCAAACCAGAGGAATGACTGCTAAAGGTGGTAACAGGTTTCATATATTTTTTAACAAGGTGGTTTAAAAGTAATATATATTTTTAGCTTAGTTTTACTGATATTTCAGGGTTCTGAAACCAAAAATAAAAAATTACCATTATCGAGTGAATATTTATTTTTCTATTCTGCCTTTATGTTAGACGACTCCAGTTATAACATGCCAGAGGAATGATATTTGAACAAGAATTTGTTTATTATTGTAGAAAATAATTTGTTTAGTCAAAATTTTGACCAGTAACAGCAAAAATGATAGTTTCTATCTTCTAATATTTTATGTATGTACAATTGTATTTTTAAAAAATATTAGGCTATCTTCCGTGAAGCTCTAGTATTCAAAATGCATGATTTCTTAAAATTCTTGCATTAGTGCAAAACCACTTATGTTATGCTATTACTAGACCTGGTGGCTTCCCAAAAACCCCATTCTAGACTAACAGTGAAACAACCAAAAATAAAAAATAGGTAATCATTTTCACTTGGGGGGCATCTCAATATATTCACCCATTAACATTATATAGTTTTTGTGATTGAAAAAAAAAATACAGGTGTTGCCTAATCATGAATGCGTTAATTTATTTAATTTTACTACTATAACCCAAATAATCCCATTGACGCATATGAATTGCTATCGCTATTCTCAAGAAGAGAAATCTCGTTTGGGTCTGGTCAATCCCCTATGACGTCATCGTGTTTATTATGTGAAATTACGTTAATTCTATGCTAAACATGATAAACGTAATGGGTTGTTTTTTGACAATTAATTTGAATAAAAATAGCATTTAATTATATATATAAAAGTTATTTTTAGGTATAAGGAAATATGTTACAAATTTGTTAAATATAAATTTTTTAAATGATTCTTTTGAGACTCGAAAATATATTTTTTCTCTACACTCAGAGAAATATCATTTCATGAAAAGCATATGAAATGATATTAATTTAAATAATCAGGTAAATTTGATTCAAATAGAAAAAATTGTAGTTTTATATTCATTTACCAACAGTTTTACAATGTTTTTAAACACTTTTAAAGTGTACTCTTTTTAAAATATTTATACAAAAAGAAATCTATTTATTTCATTGCCTTTCTCAACGTTATTTTAAAAATATATGTATTATACAATTGTTATACACCTTTTAATTTAATGAGAAACACCAATGACGCCAAAACATATTTGAATCCCTTTGAATTATTAGGGATTCAAATATGTTTTGGCGTCATTGGTGTTTCCCATTAAATTAATAGGTGCATAACAATTGTATAATACATATCTTTTTGAAACAACTTTGAGAAAGGCAATGAAATAAATGGATTTCTTTTTGTATATATAATTTAAAGAGGGTACACTTTAAAAGTGTTTCAAAACATTGTAAAACTGTTGGTAAATGAATGTAAAACAAAAATTTTTTCTATTTAAATCAAATTTACCCGATTATTTAAATTAATATAATTTCATATGCTCTTCATAACTTGATATTTCTCTCAGTGTACCTAACTTTGATTGGACATTTTCATATGGGCTATGCTTTGGCCTCCAAACAAAATGCAAAACATTTTGGGACAGCCCTGAACTAGAACTCAGATATAATCTTTACACTACAATTAATAATTTTTTATCAAGGATAAAATAGTTTAACCTAAACCTCAATCAGTTATATCGAGCACATTTCTTATTACATTCATTTTAATTATATTTTTTATGACATATTATTGGGTACTAATTATTTTTAAACATGAATTAAACTGCATATTCACAAGGTTATTGTAACCTCCAAAACCAAATAATTTTAGATTGATTGGTATAATATTTGGTAATTGACCGAAATAAAAGACTACTTCAGATTTGCAGCCCTTTTTATTGTTCCTCATCCAAATTTAGAAACAATGCTCTCTTCAACTTCTAATCTCTTCCCAACTCAACCTCAAACAATATTTCGATTCTATTCATTGGTTAATCCTAATGGATTCTATAAAATGTACGAGATCAGTATTTTTTTTAAATTTAGTATGTTATCAATAGGGATGGGATATTTAGGTACTAAAAACTGAAAAATAGGTAACTAAAAGGGTACTAAAAAAAGCATTTTAGGTTAAAAAAACAGCATTTTAGGTAAGAAAAATCATTAAAAGTTTAAGTTTCGTTTATAATTTTGTTTAGGCGCATACCCAAACACAGAACATACCCACAATAAACTATTTCTATGCAATAAACTGTGTTTTACTGAGTGACACTCACTACACAGAAGTTCTATGACAGAACATAAGTTCACTAGTAGTGAGTAACTAGAAAGAAGGTAACTGTAAAGAAAGTTACTGTTACAGTCTGTAACCATAAGAAAAAATTCTATACCGTTGAGTTGCACGCCCTGGATAAAATATTGGCGCAAATTAAAAAAAAAACAAAAAAAATAAAATAAGTAAAAATAGGTAACAAATAAACTGACAAATTAAAAAATATGTAATAAAAGTATAAAAAGGTAGTTTAAAGCAAAAACCTCCAAAAAAAGTAAAAAAAGGTGAAAAAAAGTTAAAAAAAATAGGTAACAAAAGTATAAAAAGGTAGTTAAAAGCAAAAACCTCCAAAAAAGGAAAAAAAAAGGTGAAAACAAGTTAGGTTCATATAAAAGAAAATCTTTTAAAACACATTTTGGCATTATTGGTTTTCAAATAGTTACATCGGTTAAAAAAAGGTAAAATAACTAAAATCCCATCCCTAGTTATCAATCTTGTTTTTGATATTCCTTCCTGGTTGTAGCCATTAATTATTTACTTAATTAAAATAAAATATTTAATTTATAAGAAATGGATTGTTTTTATAATAATGTAATTACATATAAAATTATAAAATTTACATTGCAGAAATATAATCATTATCAAGGTTATAAATAAAGTGTTAATAATTAACAATTGTTTTATAACAATTTTTTTCTGGTTCTGTGTCATTAACGATAAAAATTATTGATTTCATTTGCTTTTTGTGCTTGCAATTATTATGTCAGGGATTAACGAGTATCTCTCAATTCTATCTTATTTAGATACTAGCTGTTAATAGCTTATTTCATCGATAGGAGGGATTTGCTACTTTTTCAGCATTTAACTAATAAATGGATGAAATAGATATCCAATAAAAAAGTGTTCAATTAAAAATAAGGTCATTATTGTTGCGTCTTTTTGCACAATGGCCATCTGCATTTTACCTTCGAAGTGTTCATCTCGCTCGCGTGTTACACGGTGCCAATTAAATACAGCAGGTAATAATAATACGTGCGCCCTTGAAAACCAATTAACTACATCTCGAATGGAAATCGATTAATTAATATATCCACTGAAATATATTTGAAGACAAAGAATTTGTAGGAAATAGAGTCATTCCAAATAAAAACACCAAATGGGGTGCGCCGCTTGATTTTTTATTTTGATAAAAAAATTGCGGATGATCTTTTAGGTATCAAATATGAAAATCCGTTGCCGTTTTAATTTTTGGATTCTTTACTTTTAATCGGCACCCTTTAGAAATCTGAAATCGTGTCAATTTCTTATTCTCTTATAGTGGTCCAGAACTT